CCAAAAGCCTAAATCTAGTCGATGCTGTCTAGTCTATGTTCAGTGTTGATACCAGCGGTGACAACTGCTTTCAATTTTTAAATTGCTCAATCTTGACGAATTACGCGAGCGGTACCGAAATATTGTGCACACGTAGACGCTGCATGACCCGAAGGTCGACGCGCTGCAAATCTCTGTCATGATCAGGACTGATGCAGAGAAGAAGAAAAAACAGCTGTTTGTCTTCCACGAAACTACAAGACGTACCAGAACAAGACAAGACCGCAAACCACAAAACCGTTGCTCCTAACATCATAGTTGCCCCCGTCGTCCAGTGCGCTGGGAAAACCATGGCGATGTGCAGGTCCACTGTTCCATGTAACCCGTGACTAACCGCCTCCACTCACAGCTATATGCTGCCCATGTGCCCGACAGTGGCTGTCTGTACAAGGAATATGGCGTTTTAACTTGGGTGCGTCCCAGCACAATCTGAACCCAGTTACGCAGCTAAAGTAATGCTTTAGTGCCACTGGTTTAAGTACATATAATTACAGTGATTGAGAAGCGGCGCTGGCAAAGGAAGCCACAGAGGTTGAAGGCCAATCTGTTTGGTTGATTCTACCGCCATAACCGCTGAGATGAGCCGTGGGGCCGAGTTATCGCACAGTTCCCCCTGAGACCGGACACCACTGTGCCAGTTCGGCGGCGTCTTTGCGGCGAAGTATCGCCGGCATAGGTTTCAGCGAGGACAAGCATCGCAATGTATGCGATCGAATGCCAGAATGTGGGCCGGCTAAATGTCGACAGCACTGAGCATCAAAATTGGAAAATGATGGAACGGCGCCAGGTGCCAGCTGTGCATCACCTTTGCGCGGGCACCAGGAGGAAATCATCAGCCTGTTAGCTTCCGGTTGAAATGGCCGACACTGGGTAGATTTGTCGGCCCGTACGTTTTTACTTAATCGTTTTTCTCGGCTGCAATCGCAGCGCTTGAAGGCCTGTTTGCGGCGGCAGCTTGTCGTGGCTGGGCCTTCCACAAGATTACAACTGCAGGACTGTTGAAGTTTTGCGTTCGCCTCAGGCTGAGGTCGCTGTATTGTGTTCTAGGCTGCTCGGAGCCGCCGGAGCCGGGTATTTCGTCTGGTGGCCGCCAGGGGCTGGCATGGGCGCCCCGGACCGCTGCCGGGGCCGGCGGCACCACCCAGTCCACATCCGAGACCGTCGGGATCACGCGGTCTGTGCCCAGAACCACTCGGATCGCGTGGTCTGCATCCGGTCCCGTCCGGACCGCCCGGTCTGCACCCGACCCCGCCTGGACCGCCTGGTCCTCGTCCGGGACCGCCCGGTCTGCGGCCGCAGCGGTCCGCACCGCGTCTGGACCTCGCCGGACCGCGCGGGTCTGCGCCTGGACCTGCGCGGTCCGCGGCCCGGACCGCCCGGCTCCAGGCGGGCGTCCTCGGAGCACCGGTGCGCCCAGTGTGGCCGGCACTTCGCCAGCGAGGCGTCGCTAGGCAACCACCGGTCCGTACACCGCGGTATCACACGCTGCGGCGTCTGCGGCCGCGTCTACAGCACCACCTCCGTGCTGCACCGCCACGTGCGGCTGGCGCACAGGGAGACGGCCGCCGCGCGGCCGGGGCAGTGGACGGGCCGGTGTCAGGCCAGTGACGGGCCGGTGTCAGGGCAGTGACAGGCCGGTGTCAGGCCAGTGACGGGCCAGTGTCAGGCCAGTGACGGGCCAGTGTCATGCTAGCGACGGGTCAATGTCGAACCAATTACGGACCGGTTTCAGGCCAGTGACGGGTCAGCGTCAGGCTGGTCACGGTCAGGCCAGTGTCAGGGCCAGCGGCGAGTCAGGCCGGTCAGACCAGCGACGGGTCCGTGTCAGGCTTGTGTTAGGCCAATGACGGATCGGTGTCAGTCAGTGACGAGTCTGTGTCAGGCCGGTACCGAGCCAGTGACGGGTCAGTGTCAGATAAGTCACGATTCAGTGTTAGGCCAACGATAGGTCGGCGTCAGGCTGGTGTTAGACCAACGACGGACCTGTGTCAGGCTAGTGACAGACCGGTGGCGGTCCAGTGACGGGCAGTGTTGGTCCAGGCCGATTGTTGCCGTGTCCGTTCGGGCCACTGGTGACCAGTAATGGTCCAAATCATCCAATGGTCGATCAGCGGCGGTCAGTGACGGGCCGCTCTGTTAGTGATGGTCATCAGTGGACCAGTCCAGCCTGTTATGCTTAGTGATGGGCCAGCGGTGGTCAGTGACGGACTGCTCTATGTAGTTGTGGCTAGCGGTGGGCCAATCTAGCCTGTAATGGTCAGTGATGATCCGGGCTAGGCAGCTGGCGTGGTCCGTGATTGCTCAGCCATCAGGGATGTTCCACTCAGTATTAACAGTCCAGTCACCAGCAGTGTTGATGGTCCATCCACCATCGCCGCTCGGCCCCGCAGCGGTGGTCCGTTCTCAGTATTAACAGTCCAGTCACCAGCAGTGTTGATGGTCCATCCACCATCGCTGATCGGCCCCGCAGCGGTGGCCCGTTTCGGCCAGTAAGAGTCTGGCGTGGTTGGTGACAGTGACAGCGTCGGCCTCGCTGGCGGGCTCGGTCCGGGCAGACCCAGTTCACGGTTTGGGCAGACCCGGTCCGGCCAGTGGCGGTCGCTCAGCGCAGACCAGGTTTGCGGATGCTGCGCTAGGGCCTGCGTGCAGCGCACACAGTCTTCACGCCCGACATTGCGGTGGGCACCTGCGAATTAACTATAGAAGTGTTGTCAATGTGTACACAATTGGAACAAGCCGATGACTCGAATACACGAAGCGCACACGCTTCGGTTGAGTGAAGGTAACCCCACAGAGACGAGCTGGACAGTCGCGTTGCTTCTTTGATGTGAACGGCAGACGCCGCTGGAGCTGACCTATATCGGCCGCACCAGATCGCCTCCGGACGTTCTCTCGGCTGACCGGATGCGCAGGTCTGATGTTGACCTTGCACCGTGGCCGGGAATGGCGGACCATTTTCAGCGGCTGTCCGACGTGTCTTCCAACCGACACCAATGATGCGTCCGCAGAGTCGCAATGCAACATTTTGGACGGTTTAAGTCCAGAGATGCAATATGTTGTTCATCATGCTGGATGGACATCTTTTTATGACTGATTACGTCAAAAGTGCATGGTAAAAAAGTACAGAAAAGTAAGAAAAAGTACGCGCATACTTGTATGCAACAGCGACGCCACATTTGCCGATTTTCTGCATTTGGAAAGCTCGTGTGGGCCGGAAGCCGGCGATAACCGGGGCCGTATGCACTGCTCAGCTGTGACGTCATGTGCGTTATGCACCCGAGCAGGCGTAGTGTCCTCGACCACAAGCATCGACCGTGGCGGGGTGGCCTGATCAGTGATCGCTCTTGGCCCCGGTGTGTGGCGACTGAGGCTGGCGCCGTGTCTGTGTTGCAGGGTGCCGGTTTCGGTGCGTCGCCTGCCCGCAGAGTTTCCTCTCGCGCGCCGGCCTCAGTCGCCACAAGGCCGTGCACCGCGGCGAGACCGGCTGCCCGGTCTGCGGACGCGTCTTCAGCAACAAGTACAACCTCAATGTCCACATTGCGGCCAAGCACCGGCCGCCGGCCGCAGCGCCGCCCGCCTGGCCCGGCCTCTAGCGGCCGCAGCCGCCGCCCCCGCCCGCCAGGCGGCAGCACCGATTGAGCGCGGCGTGCCGCCAGGTGGCAGCGCGATGCTCCGCCCGGCCGCTGCTGAGGGGCGGCGCTCGGCGGACGGGCGCGGCACGTGTGTCTCGCCTGGACTGGCAACCGGGTGGCGATGCGGCGCGATGTGTGGACTCAGCTGGAGGTGGTCTGCACGGATTTTTGGAGACCCTGCTGAGCTGACGTATTTTGGACGCGTGGTTTGTTGTAGCGGCTGGTTTTAGCCATCAATTCGTCAGAAATGCATAATACACCGACTGAAGTGTGCTACTGTTTCTGAAGTGCTGACAAGTGACTAGCTGGTGGCTCACTGATGACCGACGTCTTGGACATTGCCGTTGGACAGAGCAGTGGAGGCTGTTGGGGTAGGCGTGAAATGATCCCAAGAGTGCAGTGTCGAATTACAAGGCGAGATGTCTGGTACATAGTAGGGTCGATTGTGATAAGCTGTCAGTGATCTACAAAAATAGATACCTCGCGAATAATATCGCAGACCAAAGTGCTTTGTGTGCCACGGCTCGCCTGGCTTCACTATCCACTGGTCGATTTAGTTGTGCGGCACTATTGATGGCGGCTTTCTCAAGATAGGCAGTCGACACGCGTCTCAGTCTTGTTTACCTTGTGATCGCCTTCCCCTTCCGAGGACTCAGTGACGTATTGTCCCCAGCCGAAGGTCTGAAGTGGGCGACAGCGGATCACATTGGCCTCGCACGGGATGCGGTATCCTAAACGCGTCGCGTGTGCTGAGCTGGTGCGCGCAATGGAACCGTTCCACTTTCGCACCTTCGAATCTCACTGAAGTAAGGCCGTTGAGTTATTGGGAAGAGGAGGTTAGAACGGAAACAAAGGGAATACCATTGCGGTAGCACTTAAAGGCTGTCTAAAACAAGGTTGCAAGGTGTATCGTATGATTTTGCAAACTGTGTCTGTTACAACGACTTCTCATGGCGGTCATCTGTCAGTTAGAATATCACGTAATGACTTGCGGCCACCAGTTGGAGAAACTCTGGAGACAACCTCCCGGTCGATCCCAACTCGTAACCACTGTCGCGGCACGGATATTTCCAACAAGGAACTGACGGACATGGACGGAAGGCTGCCGGTGGTTGCGGTGGCGTGCTGTCGAGCGGCCGCAAGTCGTACTAAAACGGGGGCGCTCAGTTTCCGTGGCGCCCCGTTGACCGGCTGTGTCCGCCGGCGGCGGTGGTGTCTGCGGCATCCGCTGACCGGTTCTTGTTCCCTGCGGCCTGCTATTCGCCGGCCCTGCCCGCCGCCGGTGTCGGTGTGGTCGGCGCCTTGTTGACCGGCCCTATCTGCCGGTAGGCGGCGGCCGGCTGGCGGGCCCTGGCAGCGGCGGCGGCGGCACCCCGCGCGTGCTCTGCACCACCTGCGGCAAGACCTTCTCCAGCAGCACGTCGCTGGCCAACCACAAGCCGCTGCACGCCGGCCACACCACCTGCCGGCTGTGCGCCAAGGTGTACGCCACGCGTCACAACCTGCGCGTGCACATGCGCCGCGACCACGGCGTGGAGCCCGGCGGCGGAGAACCGGGCGGCATGCCGCCACACTGGGCCGGACCCGGCTCGCTGTAGGCGGCCGGCGCCGGACGGCGGTGTGAGAGACCCGCCGGACGGTGGCGAGAGGGCTGGCCTGGGGCCGGCTAGAGACCGCCGCCGGAGCGCGGCGTCTGGAGGAGGCTGTCGGAGCTCGGGTCAGGCCGGCAGGAGACAGCCGGGAGGCTGTCGGAGCTCGGGTCCGGCCGGCAGGAGACAGCCGGGAGACAGCCGGGAGGCTGTCGGAGCTCGGGTCAGGCCGGCAGGAGACAGCCGGGGGGGCTGTCGGAGCTCGGGTCCGACCGGCAGGAGACAGCCGGGAGACAGTCGGGAGGCTGTCGGAGCTCGGGTCAGGCCGGCAGGAGACAGCCAGGAGGCTGTCGGAGCTCGGGTCAGGCCGGCAGGAGACAGCCGGGAGACAGCCGGGAGGCTGTCGGAGCTCGGCGTCCAGTCCTGAGCAGGGTCGCACGTCTCGCCGACTGTTTGACTGGCAGCCCCGCCCATGAGCACCGACCAGTGACAGCCGGTCTGGAGGTCGGAGTTCCGTGAGGCTATGGTCGCGGCTGCGAGGCTGTGCCCACTGCAGCGGGATCGCTGCCGGACGGCGGCGGATGGCTGCACGCTGTTGGAGCTGTTACAGCGCCGCCAGCCCAGTGGTCATCATCGAAGAACGTGTACATAGTGGCATTAGGGGGGTTTGTAGTAGAAAAGCCAACCCTTGAGCGAAATTAATAAAAGCGACGCTCCGCGTGGGTTTTTGTAGTCGGGGCAATCTTAAGCCTGCTACATATATTTGTCAACTTTTCACTGTGATCTCAACGCGGTTCTCTGCTGCTTGATATATCCCGAGGCCTTGGCAATCAAATACTGTTGTTTAGATCGGCTCAGTTCCACGAGAAGTGGTTGAACTATAGGATTCGGAGTTGAAGCAGTTGATTCTTCCTGCCGGCAAAGGCCCATCTGATTCATTGTCCATCTTGGCAGATTTCATGGCACGACGCAGTACGGCGATGGTGTGCATGCGGTTGTTCTGATGGCATCGACTACGTATTGTACATGCGTCTAAATACAATTGTCATCGAACGCGGAGTTTGGCAGGAGGAAAAAGGATTTTAAAAGACTTGTAGCATTCTTCTGACCCCCGGCGATTTGCAGAAACTTGAGATGCCTTGCATTGCAGCTGTAGTGCTGACAACTTTCGCACGTCATTCGTGGTGCCTGAAAAGAGATATAAATAAGCAAGGATTGTCTACTTAAAAGTAAGAGAAGAGATTCTGCGCCGGTAACGGCGGGTTGATTTCCTCCAGTCCCACCCTTGGCCTCGCCTCGGCTGGCAGCACGGCTGGAGTTTACACGACCGTCGCTGAGACAGTCACTGGCGCACCGACCCCGACTGCAGCATGAGCTGGCGCACGCCTGCCCCACGTGACCACCGCCGTGAATACGGTCAATAGGACACGGCTTCCACCGTCGGCCCAGACCGACGACGCGTGATCGCGCCGCTGGTACACGGCCGTGTCACGTGGCTGGTGAGACGCGAGCGCTGCACGCCTGTCTGCCCTCGCGGCGCTGAGAACGGCAGCGGACGCCATCGGCGTGTGGTCTGGAGCGCAGCAGCGGACGCCGCCGCTCTCTTCACACCATCGCCCGACGTCTGAGGTCGCGGGGTCGCTGCTTCTCTGGCTGACTGGTGTCGGCCAGTGGAGCACTCAGCGCGGCAGGGTCGTGCTGGAGACCCGCCGACCCTCCGGGTCCGGTGTGTCCAGCGCCGCGACACGGGCGTGACGCGGGCGGGGCTGACATCTCCCCAACGCTGGGGTGGTGCTCGGGGCAGCGGTCCGCCTCCTGGCGGCACTGTCCGGCCGTCACTCCTCGGTGATCTGCCGGGGGCTGCGCTCCCGTAGCCGGCCGTGTTCGCCTGTCGTCCCCACTACACGCATTCCAACGAGGTATGCACAACGCCGTTCGTCGCGGTCGCGCGGCTCGGCGCGTGCCTCGGCTCCTCCGCCCGTGCCACGTGCTCACGTCCCGTGTTGACGCGCGTGCCGGCGCCGCGGTTCCGCAAAGCGGCGCGTGTCCGCCGCACGGCACGCGGATGCCACGTGTGCGCGCGGCGGGGGTCGGCCGGCCGCCGGCTGACACACGTGTGTGCGTGTTGCAGGCCGGCAGGGGCTGCGCTGCGAGCTGTGCGGCGTGGCCTTCAAGACGGCCAGCCGGCTGAGCGAGCACCGCGCGATCCACCGCGGCCAGACCACCTGCCCCGTGTGCCAGTACGTGTTCACGCGGCGCACCCAGATGAAGCACCACCTGCGCTCGCGCCACGGCGTGCTGATGTAGCCGGGCCGGCCGGCCCGGCGGGCGGGCAGAGGCCGGCGGCGGGCAGAGGCCGGCGGGCAGAGGCCGGGCGGCCGGCAGAGGCTGCGGCCGGCCGGCGGCCCGCGGCGGCGGGGCAGAGGCGGCGGCGGTAGAGGCAAGCGGCCGGCCGGCGGCCCGCGGCGGCGGGCAGAGGCCGGCGGCCCGTGCTGAGGGGCGGGAGAGCTGGCTACGGCGGGTGGTCGGGACGCAGCATGAGATGATTGGCCAACGTCAGTGGGGCAGCGGTCGAGGCGCCGTGCTGTGGGTGGCCGGCCGTCTCCCGGTGGCTCTTGGAACGTCAGCTTCGAACTCCGAGGCATTGTCATGTCCGTGGACTGGGTTACGTCTCCCTGTCCGCGAATGATGCGCCCAGCCGATGATATACCACGAGTTGATGCGCAGAGCTGCTGATTCGACTTTTGACGTGTTGGTGCCGCGGAGCTGCCGACAGGATTGGTTCTGACGATACACGCCTGTGGCCATTCCGGGCGGTGCTGTTTGTCGGTGATAGTTCTGGTCAGGAGATGAGAAGTAGATGGAGCTTTAACTGGTGGCCGCGCCGACTTAAAAAGATCCCAGCTTGCCACTTCCCGTAGGCTCTCGACCTGGTGGCTTGTGCGGCGAGGAGGAAAACTGGCCTCCATGAATTATCAGTTGTGTCTATTCCTTAGTATCCCGGGCTCTGGAGTGGGTTGCTGCAGGCACTGTGGTCGGAGCCGGTGTGTGTCGCTGAATACATGAGAACATGCGGTTGTTTTTTTCGGGTGACAAACACGATCGGGGTTAGTGGTGATCATGCACGAGAAAACAGGAGACACAGGACAGAGACGGGGCTGCGATAGCTCGTTAGCTGTTGGCGCTGGGCTGGTATAATGACCCACCGATGTGATCTGGCCTCAGTCGGGGCGGAACAAAGGTCACTGTAACATTGTCAGCGTGGTTTGGGTGGTGCTCCAGGATTTCTGGCAAGTATATTGCGCGGCCCGTTTTATTTCCTCTGCATGAGAAGGCATGCGTTTGTTGGCTGGCCAATGTAATGAGGGCGCAAGAAAGGCCTCAAGCCACTTTGGTGTTGCGAGTTATAATTTTTGATATGGCACAATGCTCAATTTTTCACCGGTGGTGATTAAAACGGCATATTCACGTAATCAATAGTATGCATTACGAAAACTGGACTTTAAAGGAGTGCTCGTGGTTGCCCTTAACCGTGAATACTGCAACAATATCGGATTTCCTTATAACTTATACCAAGACGTTTGATAGTTGAACCCGTGCATCCTGGTATATTAAGGCTGCTATTTTAAGATAAGAAAACATTATGGTAATCAAGTTATTTCATCGCGGTAACAGCGGTGATGATATTTGCAATAAACGTATTATCAGGCATGCAACTGGTCCAACCAGATCGAGTAATACGACACATGTTAACACTCCTGATGTAGGCGTTCAAAATGTTAACAGTTAACTCGCCTTTAGAATACAAGTATTGCTACTGACGCGGCGGCGCCAGGCGGTGCCGTGGGTGGCCGCCCCAGGCTGTGCCGTGGCGGCGGCGTCAGGCTGTGCCGTGGTGGCCGCCCCAGGCTGTGCCGTGGCGGCAGCGCCAGGTTGTGCCGTGGCGGCGGCGTCAGTCTGTGCCGTGGTGGCCGCTCCAGGCTGTGCCGTGGCGGCAGCGCCAGGTTGTGCCGTGGCGGCGGCGTCAGGCTGTACCGTGGCGGCGGCGTCACTCTGTGCCGTGGCGGCAGCGCCAGGTTGTGCCGTGGCGGCCGCGTCAGGCTGTCCGGCTCCGTGGCCAGTCGGCTATCAATGACAAGCCACACGAGCTGTTCGGTTGGTCGAATCGATCTGACGGGCATGGGAGCGTGCCACTCTTCACACAGCTTCAGGCTTGGCACTATGTGTATGTATGTGTTTGCGTGTTTTGCAGCCGGCGCAGCTGGTGCAGTGTCTGGTGCGGCGTGGAGCAGCAGTAAACTGGCGGCTGACCTGACCTCGGCCGGCTCTCGGGCGTGTGTCGGTAGGTGCAGCGATGCTGACCTGACCTCGGCCGGCTCTCGGGCGTGTGTCGGTAGGTGCAGCGATGCTTACCTGACCTCGGCCGCCTCTCGGACGTGCGCCGGCGAGTGGGGTGGTGCTGACCTGACCTCAGCCATTCGCACCTCGGTCCGCCCCAGCTCCCGCCTGAACGGGGCAGCCGAGAAGAAGCGCGCTGGTGAAGAAGGGGAGAAAGGAGCACCGCGGCCCGCATTGCCTTAGAAGGCCGTATTCTTATATGAATCGCTGTCATTAGTATCACGATGTCCACCCTTCCTACCTGGGAGAGAAGCAGGCGATGCCTCGCGGCCGCAGCAGCTCAGCGTGCAGTACAGGCACAAATGCTGACGACGATCATGACCATAATCCTTAGAGAAAGAATGGCAAGTGTGCAAACCGCCCACGTTGTGGGCTTACTTAAGTCATTCAAAATGTTCTTTGACCCTTCGACGACGAAGAGGACCCGTTTCCTTGGTGTCACCCCGTGTCAGGGATCCGTCTCCGGGGCCCTGTTCTCTATCTGAGGCCTCTGCCAACGTCTTGGCACATACTGGTGTGGTCGCAGCCATAAGCAGTGGTCGGTACCACAGCTGGCTTTGCGCCCGGCGCTGCCTATCGGTGCCCAGGCTGTAATGGTATGCAAAAACGGCATCGCAATTGTCGTTATTGCCCGAGCGGCCAGTCCTGTCATCATGCCGCCGTCGGGCGGTAGATGTCGCCCTGGTCGCCACAGTCCGTCGTCCGGGTCCCAGCGTTCCGCTGCGGCGCGCGGGGCGGCTGGTGTGCCGTGCACGTGGGGTCGGCCGTGCGGGCGGCGCCGACCCGCGAGGGCCGGCTGCCACACGGGGCCGACGGTGGTCCGTCCCGACCGCGAGGTTGGCAGGGGCTCGGAGAGGGGCCCCGCCCCGTTGTGAGCGTGGTAGCAGCTGATGTTTTTCACTCGGTCTCGGCGCGATCCACCGAATCGGAGCGGATTGAGCGCCGGTGAGCGGTTCTCGAGCATCGATGATGTGCATGCGTACCTACGTTCGTACGCGCACCGGTATCCATACCGACTACAATAGAGATCTGAGTATTGCGAACAACTCAGGCGTGCATGACAGATTATTTTCTCTGTCGTACCCTGGAATGAGTACGACTAAATTCGTCCGCATAGTTCTTCCTGCATGACAGAGAACGATGACTCTGCCTGTTTCCCGTGCTACCGGCTGTTGTTTTTAAACGTCCCAGGCTTGTGCTGCTCGGTGCCGTCTGCCATTCCACCTATCGGTGCCGATTGCTTTCTGATCTGAACTTTTTGTCGAGCGAGCATTAAGGGTCTGTGAAATGTTGGTCGAGCGTAGAAAGAAATAGCGAAGAAAAACACCAAG